AGTGTCCTGCCACTTTACTACATTTAAATAAATGCATTTGGCAGATGATTTCACCCAAAGCGACTTACGTTGCATTCAATGCTATATGCATGTTTTCCAATGCATGCATTCCCTGGAAATCGAACCCACAACCTTTGCCATGATCTACTGTTTGAACTACAGAAATTACCAATTTTCCATGTGCATGCAACTACAAGTGAGGATTTCTTTTTGTGAACATGGAGGGATTTTAGACCACTAGCGTCAGTTTTGCATTAGTAATCCTCATCAAATCCATCTCCAGACTCTGTTAGGAGTGAAAACACCCATCATTTCATCACCTGTCGGTTCCTGCAGGCCGTCACGTCTCTGAAATCAAAGCATTCGATGGCTGCCGGAGTCAGAGGCGGCCGATAATTCATCACCGCTGAAAACATCACGCTGCCATTAATCCAAAAGTAAACTAAACAAACAGTCCGTGAAAAATATGGTGTCAGCCCCCAAATGAGCACAACCTGTTTATAAACAGCGTTTCTGTGCTTCGTTCCCTGCAGCATCATCCATATGTCTCCAGGCAGCAGCAGATCTGACGCTGATCTTCTCTGTGGAGCTTCTCCTACATGAGCTGATGTTCTCTGTTCAGATCAAACAACAACACTAATGACAGGAGCTCAGGACCCGGATGGATGGGATCAGTCGAATGACACGCCAGCATCTCTGAGCTGACATACAGAACACAGTACTGATCCTAGAGAAAAGAGTAAAACAACACAATCCTGCTCCTTTCAATAACCAAACATGACAGACACAGCCACATAAAAGTGTTCAAAGTGATGAACTGTTTAGACATTTCCTTGATTTCTTCTGAAGCTCACTGACAACCTTCAGTGTGTCGATAATATGAAGTCTGACGTCCATCCATCTTTTCCAATCATATTACTATTGATCATAGTTAGGTTTAGTGATTTAAAGCAACCCAGGACTCGAAGCACACTCTTTAAAAAGAAATTGAAGGATCCATGAAGAACCTTTAACATCGATGGAACCTTTCCATTGGTTCTTTATATAGCAAAGTACAAATAACAACAAAATTAAAATATAACAGTTTGTTTGTTCATGGGAACAGATTTGTCTTCTCCAGATGTTAACTGATGGACTGGAGTGCTGTGGATTACTTGTGGATTATTGTGATGTTTTTATCAGCTGTTTGGACTCTCATTCTGACGGCACCTATTCACTGCAGAGCATCCATTGCTGAGACACTGATGCAATGCTACATTTCTCCAGATCTGATGAAGAAACAAACTCATCTTGGATGGCCTGATGGTGAATTTTCATGTTTGGGTGAACTGTTCCTGTCATGATTTCTTAAATTCATCAACGGATAAAAATATGTCTACTTTTAAATCCTTCTGCTGATAAATTAAATCCCAAAAAATGCAGTTTTCCCCAAATCTGTGTGTGTGTGTGTGTGTGCGTGCGTGCGTGCGTGTGTGTGTGCGCGTGCGTGTGCGCGCGTGTGTGTGTGTGCGTGCGTGTGTGTGTGTGTTGCGCGTGTGTGTGCGAGTGTGCGTGTGTGCGTGAGTGCGTGAGTGTGAGTGTGCGTGTGTGCGTGTGCGTGTGCGTGTGCGTGTGTGTGAGTGTGTGTACCTACTTAACCATATTTTGGGGACAAATTTGTACCCAAAAGTGAGCTAAACTTGACAAAATCTCCAAAAACCTCCCTTTGGGGACGTCCTCATTTGTAAAACTGGTATAAAAATAAAGTAAACAAAGTTTTTTTTTTTTATTGTAAAAAATGCAGAAAGTTTCCTGTGAGGGGTAGGTTTA